GGGGGACCACCCTGTGCCGAGACGCGTTGGCAGAGTTAGCCTTGGTTGGGACTTGATTTCTTCAAGTTGGAGATCTTCAATCGGCACAGGAAAAAGACGAGCCTTGATTTTCTTGTGCCAGGCTGAAGGGGGGTCCTTGGACGTAGGCAAGGACGGAGTCAACGCTGGCGGTGCTGGCGACGTCGGTGGCGCTTGTTGCTGTGGTGGAGGGGTGGTTTCTTTGGTAGGACGCTCGGGAATTTTACGCCGCTTCCCCTTGAGACTAGGCGGCACAAATTCGTTGAGCGCTGAGATCTTGTGCACCACAAAGTCCGGCGGTTGATCGGCAGCTACAAGATCTCTTGAAGCGGCTCATCTTCCTTGTGCTTAGACCAAAGGTAGCCAGGCACTTGCTTGGAGTTGAAAATGACCTTGAGCGAGTTAGAGTGCAAAGTTCCAGCCGAAATTGTCGGAAAAACCGAAACCGGAGAGCAACCGCGGTTTTCGAAAAAGTCGAAAACATCCAGGGGGTGATGCCGTGGGCAAGCGGTGGAGCTGGACCCAATAAAATTGCCCACCCAAGGATGGGGCGTGAATAATCTGGTCATAACCACAAATTTACACGACTAGGTCCGCACAATTCCAGGTTGTTGGTAAAAAAGCGCACTCCTTTGCCACGAACCATGGCAAAGCCGGACAAATGGGGTCTTGCCGCGAGCCAAGTGGGGTCAGAGAACTCAAAAAGCAAGTTCACGGTGACCGCCAGCGGAAAGGCTTGGGTGAGGCTCGCCGCTGGGATCCAAAACTCTTGGGAATCTTCCCTGGCACATGGAGAAGACGGAACAAGAGCACGTTGTTCTTGAGGCGACGCCTGGAGCGTTTGACGGATTAATTCTTCAGGAAGAGCGCTTGCGGCACATTGGTGGGTAACTTGAAGAAAGGTGGACTGTACTTCCTGAAGACGAAGGACCAAGTGTGGAAGTTGTGTGTCCCAAAGGACGACTGCTTGAAACGCTATATCATTTCAAAAAGTTATGACATAAATGCGACAGCATGCCCTGGCGTGAGAAGAACGCAATTGCACATCGCACATTGGTGCTATTGGAGTGGACTTTTAGATGATGTCAAATTCTGCGTTGCTACTTGCGATATTTGCGTGCTTTACAAGACTAGTAATGCTGAGGCCAATCGATGACTCCCAGTAAGTCTCCTGAAGAATATTGGCACATAGTTTCGATTGACTGGATCACCGGTTTGCTGGTCTCGAGCGGCGAAGATGCGATCACGACTTGTGTAGAGATGACGTCAAAACGCCCAAAGCATGGTGCCAAAGCTTCGAACGTCGATGCTCCTCAAGCGGCGAAGGAATTTTTCGACACGATTGTGCGACATCACGGCCTTCCAGCCGTGATTATCATCGATCAAAATCCCAGTTCATGAGTTCGTTTTGGAATGGACTCATGAAGGTCATGGAGGGAAACATTGTTTGATCACAGCGGGACGGGCTCGATGATGCCATAAAACACCAAGTCTTCTACCGAGGTAGTGACTAGTCGGAACATATCGGCACACTTGAAAGTTTACACCAAGACTTAGTGCAATCGTCGACGGGCTTAACACGCTTTAAAGTAGATACGGGGAGAAAGTTGCGTAACGCAGTAGTGAACGACTTGCAATTGTTGAATGAAAACGAGAGTAACTTCTCTGGTCGACTTAAACCACTGAGCAAGTAGGCGATTAACAACCTCGACTAGCGCAAGCATGACAGAAGAACTAGTATGACAAGAAGGGATCATAAATAGAATTCAAAGAAGGCGATTTTGCCATGTTGGCCACGCGCAACACACCGTTGGAGCACGCGCAGTTGAATGACAGAAGCGAGAAGTCGAAACTTCTACGAAGATTTAATGGACCCTTCAAGATCATTGAAGTGGTGAACTCCAATGTCCTTTGCTTGAAGTTACCAAGCAATATGAGCCGACTTTGCGACGTGTTGAACGTTGATCGCTGAAACATACTGTAGTCCCAAGTGTTGTGAAGTCGACCCATTCCTAATGTCGCTCCAGACATATTTAACGACGACAACGAGTTGTTTATCGTCGAATCGCTTTCGAAGAAACGACAATTCAACCGCAAAATGGGGCTCTTAGTGAAGTGACATAGATTTTCCGAGCATCTGGAGGCAGGTGATAGCAACATGTAGCATGTGTCGCACTGCATACATTTGATTCAAGATTACGAACGCGGCGTGTAAACAGCGACTACCTGGGAAAGATGTAACGAGGTCAGAGTGAAAATGACTTGGATAGTCAACAAGGCTGTATAGATTGTCGTGCGAAGAATATCCGTTGAGAACATCGTATGCGAAACCATTTTAGAAGTATACATTTGAACAGGACATCATGACAATCTATGTACTGTTTAATTCCCTCTGTGCCTACAACGTTACATCTGTTATCGTTGTGGCTAGTGCAACGGCGAAGGCTCGACTTGAGTGCGACAGGTATCGAAGGACTAAAGGGACCACAAAGTAATCTAGCACCAGCGTCTAATTGCTAAGCCATGGAGAATGCTTTCGTGGTCGCTAGATAGAAAGCTCTCAAAACCTACGTCATAGCTCAAGAGGGATACAATCTGATCACCTTAATTGCACACAAAACCTTTGTGAGCCGGGAGGTACTTTACTACTGCGTACAGCCAATGACACACCGCCGAGTTAGAGCCGCCAAGCAGCAAGAACGACGGTCTAGGTGATACCGAATCGTAAAAAGGATCGACGCCATGGACGGCTCGAATGACATGCAAGCTACCGCTGCGATGGTATTGATCATAATTGGTGTAGGCTTTACCGTATATTCTATGCTCTCCAGAAAGGAAGCAGCTACATGTATTTATGCGTTAATTTGCCTAATTTTTTGTAGCGATTTCATGCCTTACGTCAAATCATTACAGGGAACGACGGAAATCCTTCCCCCATGGTACTCGACCATACTACTGGAATTTTAATATTATGGACGTCCAAAATCATCCTCTCGAAATTAAGAATATTTTTGGCCAATCGATGACCATAGTATCTACGTCCAAGCACATGATATGATACAACTTGATCTTGCTGTCGTCAAACAAAAACTATACACTT